TGTACAACGTCTGGCGAAATAAGCGGGGAAATACCGATGCGGAGAGCTCGAAAGAGACGATCCAAACGCCAGATAGCTCCGTCTTAAATGGGCATTTTAAAATGATCGCCTGCAAGACAATGTGCTTAATTTGGTACCAAAGGACGGTTGCAGTCGGAAGGACCTGGCTACAAATTAAAATTCTGCTTTGAAACTGAATATTGGTCGAATATTGGTGTTGCTTTCATATACAAGTATGTTACATTTTGCAGAGCTTCCGTTGAAATAGCGGACGAACCCTTGTGGTGCAGGACCCCAGTCCATAATCCCTTTGGAAGCAGTTCCCTTTGGAAAATAGTGAAAACACAATCAAAATCCCCTGTACTTACGGAAGGAATTCGTGCCGGAGCTGGAGGATCCCCTGCTGGGACACTGGCGGTGCTTCCATGGCATCATGCTCGTCACACTCGAGTGGAGCTGGTGGTGTTTCTGCGGCGTCACCGAACCCGATCCGCCGACCGCACCGCCCACCGCTGCACCACCCACATGGGCGTGATAATGATGCGGATGCGGATGCGAGTGGGCGTGGGTGTGGGTGTGCGGATGCGGCAGCGTGTGCGGATGCTGCAGTGATGTCTGCGACTCGCGTTCTTTGAGGCCGTGTCCGATATCGCTGTCGAAGGATGTGAGCGTAAATGTGGACGAGGCGGCCAGGCCCAAGCAGCCGTTTGCCATTGCACCACCTGAGCCTGCGGTTCCCGAATGCATTTTCTGGTACGGCACACGACAACCACCAGTGCCGCCCGAGCCATCGATGTTCACCAAATTGCCAAAGCTGCGACTATTAATTGGCAGCGACCAGTCCATGCTGCTGGTGTGAAAGATTGCCGGCTGCTGGGCTGCCTCGTGTTGCTGTTGTGCGTCTGCATGTTGCAGCTGCTGCTGCTGCTGTTGCTGCTGCTGCTGCGGAAAACTCAGCAAGGACTGCGAGAAGCAGCGACAGCGCTGCTGCTGGAAGTGCGCCATTTGTTGCTGGTGGTGCTGCTTCTGCAGGTAGCGACTGTAGTGCGCCAAATGCCGTGCATAATCGCTGCTCGGCCCAATGGTATTGTATTTCGAGGATGTATTGCCGCCTGGCAGGAAGCACAGGCTGGGATCCGATTTCTTCGAGTGCGGCGAGAATATCTCGTCCTCCTCGTGGGCGGCAAAAGGGGGCGGTGGCGGTGGCGGGTTGGTGGTGGGCGTGGACGTGGACGTGGACGTGCGCGTGGGCGTGGCATTGCCGGGCAGCTTATGCCTATGGTTGTGGGCGTGGCCGGGCGGCTGGCACAGGTCCGGCTTCACCTGATTGTTGTTATTGTGATTAATGCCGGCCGCGATGTTGCAATTGTTGCTTGCATTGCTGTTGCTGCTGCTGTGATTGCTGGTCGTGGTGCACTTGAGCAATGTGGCAGTGCACTCGTCCAATGCAGACTTGGTGCACTCTTGCAACAGATCGCTGCTGCACAGCTGCGACAAGTTGTTATTGTGGCTGCTTTGCTGCTGCAGCTGCTGCTGCTGCTGCTGCAAATGTTGCAACAATCGCAGGCTGCGCATGCTGCCATTGCGTTTCATCGATGGGGGTGGGGGCACAGGCGGTATCACATCCACATCCGACAAGCTGGGCGTGTCGCTCTGGGAAGGGAAAGAAGGATGTGAGTATCAAGCTGTTGACAAAAGGGAAATCGCATTAAATCAAAATGGACATGAGCAGCTTCCGACGGATGTAACCCCACAACGTGCCTGTAAAAAGGATTGAGTTTGGAATAGATTCATTTGGAATCTATCAAACTGTCAAAACTAGTTGATGCTCTTCCACTCTATTTGTACCCTGAAAGATTTAATTTTTCCATTCCTAGTTTCTTAATCTTGTATATGTATATTACCATTTTACAGAGATGACAACGCTTTTATCCTGCACGTTACCCCTAAGCATTAACATTCTCCCAACGAAGTATATAAAAACTGCCTTTCAATACCGTAAAAACTTTCGCTCTACTCGTAACGAGCCCTGGAAAATATGCAACGCACTCCTTTTGACGTTACTTGGCGAGAATTCGGCAGAAGGAGCCCGAGATTTACAATGATGGGGCACCGTGCGGCGGAGCGAAGACGTTCCTTTGACCCCCTGGCTACATAAAATTTAATTATGCCATAGACACCGGTTCATACTGAAAGACTTCCACTCACACACACGCAGGGGGCAGGAGAGCCATAAAAGGCGTGCAAAAATGGGCAAGAAAAAGGTTTATCCCCGAAAACTCCCAGAAGTTTCCAAGAGTCGAGGCCAGGCCAAGTGCCCTAATTGAATTTGCCACGGTCAGCATCAGCATCAGCATCATCATCAGCAGCATCATCATAATCATCGTCATAATCATCGGCAGGAGGTGCTTAGGGACTTGAAATTGAATTTCAGTTACGGGAAATACATTTGCATTGATTTGCTTCCCCCTCTTTTGGGTTTCTTGGGTCGAATTATTTTTATGCGTCTGGGCGAAACGAGACGCATTGCCATTAATAAATATTTCCTTTGAATTTTGATTGCTTTACGCCCACTCCTGGAAGAATTCCTGCACCTCGGCTCGTTATTGTTGTCTGTGTCTTTTTGTTGATTATTTTTTATTTACTTTGACTTGTCCCTTTCACTTGTCCCTGGTTGTCCTGTCCAGTCGCCTCCTGTCCGATGCTTAAGTGGGAAATTGAAATTTTCATATTTTCATTTGGTAATTTATTTATTCTTTTTGCCCTCCGCCCGGCGACAGCTCAAATAATTTATGCAAATATTTAGCGGTGGCGTGTGCTGCATATTTTAAGACGGGCCAATTTGTAAACGGTCCACTTATTTTGAGTATTCTGATTTTCTTTTCTTTTATTCCAAGCTTAATTTCTTTGTTCAGGTGAATTCAATACGACAAAAATGTTTGTAGTAGCTGTTCTGAGATGTGTTACTTTTCTTCAAAGAATTGCAGTTTTATTTTACTAAGCCCTTTCTCTTCTAATTGGCATGTATCTTCCAACTATCTTTTCTTCGTTCACTCATTTCTTCAGAGCCCTCATACTTTTCCCCATGATGCTTCAACTCGTTACTTGCAGCTGCTGCGTTGGCAAATTAAACGCGGGCTATCCACTTTCTTTTAGCCCAGACCAACGAACATAGTTATTAAGCGAATAAATTCGTAAAAATGTATGCAACAGTAATGGTTGTTTGGTGTTTATGCCGCAAATTTGAAGACGACTTTATTGGGTTTCGGAAGGGTTGCGAAAAGTATGGGCGAACATGGGATGAGTTTGAAGTCTTGTGGTGAACCGCTCTCGTGGCTGTTTTAAGCATTAAATTGCTTGATATATCGCCTTAGTTTTTCCTCGCGACTTTTCTCCCGGCTTTGGCTGAACCACTCTTTTGCGTGGACATTTTTCCGGGTCTCCCGCTTTTTCGCTTCCCATCTTAGTGCTCACTTGAATTATGCTTTGCGTCTTTGTCTCGTTTTAAATTTCATAATGCACATTTTATAATAATTTTTCGTCTACTTTGCTGCAATTTTGTGCCATTTTTTACTATAATTTATGTAGCCATGTGTATGTATGTGCCACTGTGCGCTTTCCCTCTCAACTTTCTTGCTTCAGTTACAACAATTTAGCCATGGGAAAATGGCGATGGCTATGGGGGTTGTGTGTCGGGCGTAATGTTGAGTTATGGCAGTTTTGTAGTTTGCGAAAAAGTTTTTTACGAACATCCCTCTGTCTCACTTTTTCCCTCTGTTCGGGTATTTAGTTAAATGTTCGTAAAATTGAGTGTTGGTTATATTTTACTGGAACTTTGCTATCCCTGTGCTGGGAACTCCGTTCCCGCAGAACGTACAATCGCCTTTAATCGATTTGGCAAAAGCAATAAGCAAAAAACTTTTATAAATACTCAAGTTTGTTTTAGTTTTTCCTGAAGTCCGAGCATTCTCTTTGCCAATTTGTAATTATCCATCAGAGCTTTTAACTTTACGACTTTATCAAGGGCCATTTCGGCATTTGTTTTCGCTTTAAAAGTCCGTTGGCCAAAAAGAAAAACTGGCCAATTATTAGGGCTGTAAACGTGGCAAGTTTGACCATTAAAACTTCGTATGGGGAGTACAGCCATAGTGGCTTCCTTATAGTTTTTTTTAGACATATCATTTAATTTAATACATTTTACTTTGACGAATGATATATATGAACAGATTGCGTATACGTAATGTAGATCTATTTTACTACATATTACTTACTTTAAAATGAAATTAATGTGTTCACAAGTATTTTTTGTAATGCAGTTCACTAAAACAGCCAGCTACCATATATCAATCCATTCATCAATCTGCTTTAACAAGAGTTTGATAAATTTAAAGTCCGAATGTGACTAGCAACTAAATGGAGCTAAATGTAACGCATAGCGTAAATAAAACCCTAAAAACGATGCTAGTAAATTATGTTTGCCGTTTGAACAACGAACCGAAGACACATAGTTGAGAGTGAGTAAGGACAGAAATGGAACAGCGGCAGAGATGGGAAATGGAAAAGCTCTTCCGGCAGTTGGAAAAGCGCCCACGCATGCCACCAAATTGCAGCCACAATTTGCTGCAACGAACTCAACTGAAAACTGAAAGCCGAAAGTGGAGCAGGCCCATGGAAAGGCATACATCAAATGTGTCAAAGAGATTTGTTATGCATGACAGAGATCTGTGCCAGCAAACTCGCCAAAGTATCAAAAATAGGGACTTTAAGAGCCCCTGCGATCTATAATTGTTTACATTTATTATTTCATTTAAAAAGTATAGTTGTTACGAAGACCATATGATGGAAACAAAACTTTCAACGTTTTAAACAATGAATTGAAAATGACCTAACCACAATTGACGCTCTTTTCCATATGCACTTTATATTGTTATACACCACTCAACTTTTATGTGAAAAAATCTATTTAACTTCCCGAAAATTAAAGGAAGAGACTTTTGAAATACATTTGCACTGCGTAGCTTTATTGAACCGAAGCATATCCAAACTTCTTCAAGATACTATACTGTAATGGGTTTCGAGTCAGGTTGATGTGTCTGCTGAAATGAGTAAATCTATATGGGTTAGAAACAACGTCGTTTCCCCGCTTACACAAATAAAATGGGGAATAAATTTATACAAAATTCGACTAGATCAGATTGGTTTTCTTGATGAGGTTGAGGAACTCCTCCTTGCTAACCTCACCATCACCGGAAATATTCGCCTCGTCGATCATCTCCTGCAGTTCCTCGTCGGTGAGCTGTTCACCCAGCTCCTTGGCAACGCGTTTCAAGTTGGCGAATGAGATGCTGCCGGTGCGGTCGTCGTCGAAGAAGGAAAACGCCTTCATCATATCCTGATTAGAGTCCTTTTCGGCCATTTTCAGGCGCATAAGATATAGGAAATCGTTAAAGGCAATCCTTCCCGTCTTGTCCTTATCAATTTCGTCCATCATGCGCTTGATATCCTCTTTTTTCGGCTCGAATCCCAGGGCACGAATGGCCACGCGAAGTTCCTTGGTTTCGATAAAGCCCGTGCACTGGGTATCGAACAAATCGAAGGCTTTCTTAATGTCTACCTTCTGGCTCAGCGAAAGGTCAAAGGTCGGCAGCTTGGGCTTTTTCGATTTTTTAGACCTGCTGGAGATCGATGCAGTCGACTGCATCACACTTGCGGAGGACACCATGCTACCAAGACGTTTGCTCGACATGATGATTTTATCGATTTTTCAGTATCGAAATCGCCAGGAATGTCGATTGTCCGAGATCTGCTCTCTGTGAATGTGAACGTATACTGTGTAGAAATCGGGCGGGCTGTTCAATTTGGCCGACAGCTGTGGACACGACCTACTTGGTTACGATAGTTTCTAACGATCACAAAACTCCATAAGCCCAGCTTAAAAATCATTTAGATAGGAAAAATGGATGTGTATTAAATTCTAAAGAAACATTAAAAGGGCATTATTGCCTTAGTTATCTCCCTAATCCACTTTGCATTCGGTTAATTTATCGATCCGAAGTGCTGCCTCACAGCATTTGCCACAACAATCAAAATTCATATGTGCCCTAATGTTTGGCGAACTTCAAGTCTCCTCCCTTCCCCCCTCAACTCGCAGACAGCCTGGTGGCCTGAGCCCGAACCTCAAGAGTCAGTGGGTGTGGTGGCAGGTGGCAGGTGTCAGTCAGTCGGTCGTTAGACTACAACATCCACCACACCACCTACGTGCCACGCTCTGTTTGGTTATCGCATTTGCCTGTTGCAAAACTCTGGCGGAATTTCTGGTGGAGGCACGTGCCGTGCTGCTCATGATTACAACTACAATTACACAAAGTGTAGCGGGATTTCACTCACCTGGGGGTCTCCAGCTCCTCCTGCTCCTACTCCACCAGCTCCTCCTCCAGATCCCATTCCCAGTCCCAGTCCGATTCCCAATCCCGTTTCCATCCCAGTCAGCGATAATTTACGATTACGCTCGCGCTCCAGTCTCATAAGTATCTGCGCATTCTGCTCGCAGGAGTAGGTGTGTGTCTTACGCTTTCGTTCCAGACTGTACTCGTACAGCGGCCTTGCCGCATTCGGTTGCAAATCCAGTTGGGCCTCGTCGCCGGCATCGCAGCTGCACAGGGACTGATTGGAGCGGCCCTTGCTCCGCTTCAGGGATCCGCGGTTCGACGACGAGGGTGTCAGGCGCTGTTCGCTCACAAAATTCGAGAAGGTGACCACATTGCCAAAGGAACCTGGCGGAAGATAGAAACTTTTAAATGTTTGCACTTCCTAAAATATTCTACATTCTAGTAATGTGCGCTTCTTCTACTCTTGGCGTCAGAAACGCATCCTTCCACATGTTTCATACTCTTCAACGAGTTTGTTATACCCTTTACTCTACGAGTAACAGAAGGAATAATTAAAGCAACACAATCTTCAGCTATGTATGTATATTCTATTATTTTCTGACAGAACTTGTATTATGTATGCTTAAGCTTTCCAAAGTTTACCTGATATGCCTAATTAAAACAGTGAGATATTATTTACAGCATATTCTACAGCCACAATGCACTTAAGCGGGCACTGAGCATGCTGGCAGTAATATCTTAATTATAGCTGTTAGGTTCTGACACTTAGTGGGTTAATGAGCAAGCTGGTAAAACTATAACATGATTGACTGATGGGGCTCTGGTGTTTAGTTACCCCTCAGAAGAGTGCTACCCACCTGAAGTGGCTCCTTTTCGCTTGGATGGCGAGACGTAGAAGATGTCGTGCTCATCGAACTCCACGCTCCGCTGACTTGTTATGCCGGCACCACCATTCAAATTCAAGCCAACCGCACCGCCCAAACCACCGGCACCACCAAGTGCTGTGGTGGCCGTGGCCGTACTACTGCTGGTGGTGCTGGCCGCACTGTTGCCACCGCTGCTCAGGTTGCAGCCGTGATCCGCCAAGGCGTGCAGCATGGGATGCACCTGTCGATCTCTGAGGGAGTGCTGCTTGTGCAGGCCATTGGCTCGTCTTAGCTCCGTCATCGTGCTGATTTCACTCTGCGCGTCTTTTATTCCCGGAGCCGGCTTATTGTCATCACTCCTCCGCTCATGAAATATTCATGCCACACGACTTCGAGTCCTTCGCGACTGGGGCATTAGCATATCACTTTGATTTCAAACGGGCTTGCTTGCTATATTTTTAATTTTAAATTTGCCCCCTTGCTGGCTAAGCTGGCTAACAGTTTCCTTGTGTCAATACAGCAGATTCGCAATCCGATTTGCCAGCTAACTGTTTCAATTCTGGCCCGCGCCCCTTGCCGTCTTGGCCCTCTCATTGCCAGCTTTTGCGAATTTCTTCCTTTTTTGACTGCTTACATTCTTTTCGCTTTTTTACAATCGGTTTCTCTTTGGCGGGCTGGCTTTGTTTGCCCTGTTAATAGACTTGGCTTAGTCGCCGCCGGTTGTTTGTCTATAATAACTGCAAAGAGACAGCAAAAGGAGTGAGAGATGAGATTAAGCTTAGGCTTAGGCGATATGTGTATGCTGAAAAGTCTATTCTAAATTGATTTCATTGTTTGCCGTAGTATCAGACGAAGTGTGTGCTTGTAAATATGTACAAATAATTTATGGAGGCAGATATTTACTTATTTACCAAGGGAATTTCCCAAGCAAAGTAAGCTGGAAATACTTGAGTAAAATTCTTGGGCATCAATCAAGTTCGGTTTTGTAAGGAATCGACCTAAATTTTATTGCTGCCTAAGGTCACAAAATGAATATATTTATTGTCCGATATTTTTATACTAGTCCGTAATTTAATTTCAATTTCTAGTCTGTATATCATATAAATTTATTAATCATAAAAGATATGCATATTCTTTTCAATATTTACCCTGTCTCCAAATGAACACAAACACCTTGCCAATTAACAGGGCATTGGTCTATTGATTTTTCGGGCGCGTGTTGTAAAAGTTATTTATTTTCTGATCTCCCAGTTGATTGGAGTTTTTTCTGCGGCACTTCAGTAATTTAAGACCAAAATGGACGCCTTATGCTAGGCAACAATATTTCCCCTCAACTTTGTAATATTTTGATGTCAAACTTTTCGCATAATCGATGGCAACTTTTTAATAAGCAAAAGCCGGCGAAACGAAAACAAAAGCCAAAACAAATATAATAATCAAGCAAACGGGCGGGAAGGGCAAACGGAATTTTTTCGAGGGCCAACAAAAAAAGGGAATGGCATGACAGCCGTGCTCCCCAGAAAGTATGCAACGTAATAATAACGTTAAACGATAATCAGAACAGGCTAAGCGGCAACAACAAGTGGCTTCCTTGAAGAAGTTCCCCCGATTTTGCCTTATACATATATATGTATTTATATAAATTGAGCGAGCCGCAGGGGCATAAATATGAAAGGAAACAAATAGGCAACTTGAGCCAACTCTCAAGAGTCACACGTAGCACCCCCCATGAGCGTGTATATATTTGTGTGTGTATATACTTGCAATATTTATCGCTTCTTAAGTATTTTTAAGAAGTTTGCCATCGCCAAGTTTTGACGACAGCTAACAGCAACAACCAAACAACCAGACAACCAAACAAGCTACAAGCAAACACCCAACCCCAGCAAACATTTTTATCTTGGGCATATTTCGAGAGTCACTTCACTTGTCACAAGTCTCGGCGGGGAGCAAATTGTTTGAGACTTTTGTTTGGAAGCAGGCAGCCCCATCCCAAAAATTCTTTTTGGCCAAAGTTTTGAAGGCTTTAATCAACTTGTGGCACCTAATGAGCGCCTGTAATGAGTTAATTGTTTCACATTGTTGTGCAGATGCAGTACGCTTAAGTGTTTTAGATTGTTGGGAATCTTCCTTCATCACGTCAGTTACCATAGTGATAGTTTGAAAAGTGTGACTTAATTTGATTTAAATAGAAGCCGTACTCTTACTTTTACCAGTTCTTCTCAAATAATACATTTGATTTTGTGGAACAAATAAAGAGCTAAATTTTACCCGTACAGTAATCTGAAATTGTGTATATCTATATATCTATATAGATATTTATATCTTTTCGATTGTTTAAGAACTTTTCACCGCAATATTCGGCATCATTTGTGTTGGAGGTGCCATCGTCACTAGTCTGTTTCCCCGTTCAGGGGTGTTTTTGTTTGATGGTTCATATATGTAGTTGGGTTTTTCGTACTGGTCGTAAACTGCGTGGTCCTTTTCCTAAAGATGAGTTTAGGGAGGGACAACGACAAACTCAAATGAAAATCTAATTTGGAGCAGAACGCACTGAAAGTGTGACGGAGACGGAAAAGTAGAGGGAGATAGCAACACAAGTGATACATGGGTTCATGGCATTTGCGTTTAAAGACCTCAAAAAGGACTTCCGCCTGCACTGGCCTACAAATTAACATGCCCCAATCTGTGACTGTCTCTGTGTTCGTATGCGTATGGGTGCCGGAGTGTGAGTGTGCGTAAGTGTGTGGGTGGCATGAATTATGAGTAAGCCAGCTGCAGACTTAATGGAAAATGCTCAAGCCGGGCCAAGAGTTTCTGGCCAAGAGCACGCAAAGCGTAAATTAGAAGAATGTTGAAGAAACAGCGACAAGGAAAGTTAATCTCGAGCTACCGAAGCCTATATGCTCTGCCATTACTGTAGACTTTGTTTGTAATGTAAGTTCTTATTTAATTATCGCGTTGTTAATCTGGGAAACTACAAAATAATGTTTGACGGCGGGTATGACGTGTGTATTAAACTTAATCCCACTTTGAAAGGTCCAATAGGTCCGTGGTTAGTTCGACTTATCCCTCGGAAAGAGTATATTACCGGAAATTCCCATTGCGCCCACGTAATCACGCATGTGTATACTGGTACAAGTGTGATGTAATAAGTTGTTGTAATGCTCGCGTAACTCATAAATTAGACACGATCTATTACGGACGGATTTATATGCATGAGAAGTCGGAAACAGAGACAAAAGCGCAGAATCAAGCAGCATATAACTTGATAAAATGGCTGGCAACGAGTGGGTGTCATTTTTAATTTTTGACACGTAGTCTTAACCAAAAAGGACGAACATGTGTTCTTGACATTGCAAATAAAAATATAAAAAGCGCAACGCAAGGCATAAAATGAACAAGTATTTTAAAATTCCAATTCCGGGCTGAAATTCTCGTATCGTATCGTATAATGAGTTCTCTGGCGGCGGGTCATAAATACCATTTGGAGTGTATGCAGCGCCCATAGGTAGGATATAAAAATTTGTTTAACACGCACACGTACAACTGGCACACACACATGTACGCTTATAAGCTTATGCATAC